TTGTGCACAGAGTGGTTGTTGCAGTATGCGAGGATCCTTTAAGCTATGTTGCTGGCCAGTTATTTATTTATTTATTTTTCTGTGTTGCTGAGAGCTCAGATTACTCCTCGCACTGGGTGGGTCTTGATTTCTCACCCCTGAGGCTGCCACAAGGGGGCAGGGCACGCCTCCTCATGAGTGAGAACCAGAGAGTGTCCCCAGAGGGGAATGTAATCCTGGACGAGCCCCCAAATTGTTATAAATACAGTTTCAGTGCTACAAAAGAAATGGCACTTGAATATGACATTTTCTTTTCAATTCTCACCAAGGCAAGTTACTTCTATAGAAGGGTGTGCCCTTACAGATGGAGCAATGGTGCGTGCACACTTGGACAAGGGAGATGAAGGGGTTCTTATCCCTGACACATGTGGCCCCTGCTGCTGTGTCATTCCCCTATTTGCTAGGGTTAGACCACACAGGCTAAACTAATTTCAATGGGCTAATTTAAAGAGAGTGAAGGGGTGAGTGGTTTGGCAGGAAAAATGGTTATGACAGAGCAGGTAATTGGAATGAGTCTGGGTGGAGAAGGTAATCGGAATGAATCAGGGTGGAGCAGGTAGCCAAAAAAGTTTGCTTTACGAAGAAGTTAAGTTTAAAACTAGAAGGCAAAGAATTGAACATACTGACATATTGATTCTTTGAAAAGAAATTTAGAACTCACATCTAACACTGCCCTGAAGGGCAATACTTCAGCTCATCCCATTATGTTATGCAAATGTTGGGAGACTTAGGGATTTTTCACCTCCTTTCTGTACACCTTAAGAAACCCTTACATGGATGGGCCTGGTGGCACATGCCTATAGTCCCAGCTGCTTGGGAGGCTGAGGCAGGAGGATCATTTGAGCCCATAAATTTGAGGCTAGCCTGGGCAACATAGTGAGACCCCTGTCCCTGAAAAATAAATAAAACAAAACCAGTCCCTGATTTGGACCAGGATCTGGGGTTGAAAACAGAGGGTGCTTTGGATAGTGATTTGAAATTCCTAAAAGAGTGGCTCTCAGCCTTGCCTGTGCATTGGAATCACCTGAGGAGTTTCAAAAACATTCTCATATTTGGGTCTCATGACTAGTGTTTCTATTTAGTTGATCTGAGGTGTGCTCTGGGCACTGTGAGTTATAGAGCTGTGAAAAGATCCAATGCACAGACGAACTTGAGAACCACTGCTTCTAGAGCAGGGTTTCTGAACCTCAGCACTATGGGCATTCAGCACCATGTAGTTCCTTGTTGTGGGAGATTGTCCTGTGCATTGTAGAATGTTTATCAGCATCTCTAGACTTTACTGACTAGATGCCAGGAGCACCCTCCCCAGTTGTGACAACAAAAAATGTCTCTAGACTTTGCCAGATGTCTTGGGGTAAGAGGGACAAAATTGCCTCTGTTGAGCACTGTTGGTCCTGAGCCATTGCTAGTAGTTCGGGCTGTGAAAGACATCTTTCAGAAAGAAAGAGAGAAGGTGGCTGTTATTGCACCCTTCTCTAAGAAAAAAAAATATGTATAAAGATGCCAAGGGGATCTGGCAGACAATTCTCCTGTCATTGGAAGAAACCTAGTCAGGGTGCTTTCTGTTCTTTAAGGTTTTCTATTTCTAAGCAAAGAGATGGCATATTTCTTGGGGAGCATAGTAGAGGAAGGCATCTTAGAAAACAGGGAATTAAGAAAATGATACAGGAAACTCTAGCTGATCTGAGGCACAACAAAAGGAAATGAAATATTTTTATAATTAGTATGAACAGTCTGGCTTGGATGAAATCTTGCCTCCAGCTAAGGAGTTGCAGCCAGCAGTGGGGTGACAAAGTAAAAGGGCTTGGGTGCTAAGTGGATGTCAACCAGAAATGTTGCATTAGCCCTAGGAAGGCTTTGCCACCAAATTGAGAGTAGAGTGAGCTGAAATGGGTGAGAGTTGATATATGTGTATAAGAATAGCGATAGAATGAAGTAATAAGGGGAAGGCTGGGGTTTGTGAATGAAATATTTTAGTGGTTGTCTTAGTTATTGGTTGAGAGAAGAGTCCAGGAAGCACCCTAGGAGAGTGGGGAAGTGAGAGGGAAGGGGAGGATGTGAATAATGGGTGCATTATCAAGAAGTTGCCATGTGGGCACTTGGAGTAGAATCCCTCTGGGAGCTGCAGAAAGTCAGGGCAGAACACAAACCTCAGAGGTACGAGGTGACAGAGCTGCTATATTAATCCATTAATTCCTATTTGTCATGGGTTAAGGGCTACATCCAAGGCCATTAATTCCTCAGCACTTTGGTTGAGTTCTGGCTTTGGCTTCAGGCAGAGTTGCCAGTGCTGGCAATTTCCAACTGGCACTGAATGGTGATTGCTGATGGGATGTAGGTAAGCCACTGGCAGCCTCTGCTACAGTGGTCAATTTTAAAACTTATTTTAAAGTACTGACTTCTTTGCTAGTTAATGTTTAATTTTTAATAGACTTTTTTATATGAAAGAATATCGGGACCAAGCATGGTGGCTCATACCTATAATCCCAGCACTTTGGGAAGCCAAAGTGGGAGGATAGGTTGAGCCTAGGAGTTCAAGACCAGCCAGGGAAACATGGCAAGATCTTATCTCTACAAAAAATAAAAAATCAGCTTGGTGTAGTGGTGTGTGCCTATAGTCTCAGTTACTCAGGAGGCTGAAGGTGGGAGGATCACTTGAGCCCGGGAGGTTGAGGCTGCAGTGAGCTGAGATTGTGCCACTGCACTCCAGCCTGGGTGACACAGTGAGATCCTGCCTCAAAAAAAAAAAAAAAAAAAAAAAAGGAAAAAAAAAAAAGAAAAAAAAAAAAGAAAAAAAAAAAAGGTATTCACATCTGTCAGCCTTAAAGATGTCTTCACCTTAGTTTTTGAGACCATGAAATACCATTGCCAGAAACCTAGCAGTCCTCCCAGCCCTGTCCTTAACTCTTCTTTGACTCACCCATTACATCTAATCCACCAAGTCATTTCAGGTCTACTCTCAAACATTCTGCAATTTATCCACTTCTGTCTCTGTTGCTACCTCATTAGTTCAGGACAAGGTTTATTTTTGCTTGGACTATTGCAATAGCTTCCTCTTGGGCACACCACATTCACTCCTCTTTCAGGCACTTGAACCCATGAGGCTTTTCCTTAAAATGCTTCTTCCCCTCCCACCTCTCCCCATCCCCACTCTTCCAATGACTTGCTCCTTTCTATTAGGTCTGGTTAAAGTCACATCTTCACTGAAGACCTTCCTTCCTCTGAAGAAAGATCTCTCCCAGGTCATACCATTTGTTATTCCATATCAATCCCTGTTCGATTTCTTCTCAGCACATTCCACAGTTTGTAATAATTTTGTTTACTGTGTTGTCTCCTTCTCTTTATTTTATTATAATCTTTTTTTGAGACAGAGTCTTGCTCTGTCACCCAGGCTGGAGTCCAATGGTGTGATCTTGGCTCACTGCAACTTCTGCCACTAGGGTTCAAGCATTTCTCATGCCTCAGCCCCCAAGTAGCTGGGATTACAGACATGTGCCACCATGCCCAGCTAATTTTTGTATTTTTAGTAGAAATGGGGTTTCGCTATGTTGGGCAGGTTGGTCTTGAATTCTTGGCCTCAGGCAGTTTGCCCGCCTTGGCCTCTCAAAGTCCTGGGTTATAGGTGTGAGCCACTGCATTCGAACTCCTTCTATTTATTTATTTATTTATTTATTTATTTTATTTGCTTTCTCTCCAGGGGGAAGTCACGTCATCTCCCTCTCTATAATGTAACCTTGGTAAGGGCAGGACCATGCCTATCTCCTTGACCACTTATCCCTAGTAGGATTGCCAAATTTAGCAAATAAAAATACAGGATACCCACTTAAATTAGAATTTCAGGTAACCCATTAATAATTTTTTAGCATAAGAATGTCCAAGTATTGTGCAGGACATACTTACACTAAAAACTATTTGTGGTTTGTCTGAAATTTAAATTTAACTGGGCCTCTTATATTTCATCTGGCAATCCTAATCCTTAGGCCCTGACACATAGCTGACTCTCACTACATCTTACTGAATGAAAATTTGGTAGCAGCATATCAAAATTGCTACTATGGCAACAAAGCTGGGGAAATGTGCTAAAAGTACAGAACTGAAGTAGTGAAAAACATCATTTTCCATCATATTTCTGTTCATATTTGCCTGTCTTTTCACACCAGGAGACTCTAATCAACTCTCATCCAAAGTCTTGGGCAGCACAGTACTCTGGGAGGGATGCTGACCATAGGAAGGGAACTGGTAGGTACAGCTTTTCACACAGTGGAAATTTTTGTCATGGCCTTGTACTCAGACCTTGATTTTCTTTGGCCCTTATCTCTCCAGACTGTGAGCTCCTTAAGGGGAGAGCCTGCTTCTTTTTATTCAACCCTCCATCCCCAGCATCTTCATCTGTAGCTGGTAGTAAGGATTCAACATGTGGTTCCCGAATGGACTGATAAATGAGTAAAGAGTAGGATAACTAACTCTCCTGGTTTGACCAGGACTGAGGGGTTTCCTGGGATGCGGGTCTTTCAGCGAAAAAATTGATGTAGTCCTGTACAAACTGGGACAGTTGATCACCCTAAGAAAATGAGTGGTTCTCACTTCTTGGTGGCTGGTGTTCTTCTCCAGTATCATCATATTGGCTGCTACGTGACTACCAAGATTAGACAACCTATTGGCCTGGTTCCTTATCCATTGAAAGCTGGATGTTTGGAGCGCTCATGATCCCCTAAATTTCCCCGTGTCTGGATTGGCTCCTAAGAGCTTTGCCATACCTCCAGTCTCATCTCATGGTCTTAATGCTTGGCTTTATGGCCTGGTCTTGTGATACCTAGCACATGCCTGGACTTGTGCTCCTAGAATGAAGGCCTTCAGGTCAACCACACAGGAAAGGACCCTGGGCCTTGGTTCAATCTTAGCAAGACTTACCTGACCTGCTAGGCTTGTTTCATCAACACCTGATTATGACCAATCACTACTTCCACAGAACACCAGCAAGTTTATTGAGTAATTAAGGTGACAGCCGTAGAACTTTGCAAATGCGTTTCCGCAAAAGTTCTGAGTTACTTGACTATGAAAAGTGAGTTTTCATTTTAACCAACCCCCGCTCCCAGTACTACCAGAAAGCATAAGATTCTGAAGAAACCTTCACAAATCTACTCTTAATTATGGTAGCAATGTTCCAGTCTCAATTAGGTTCTGCTGGGTTCCTGGAATTGGGAGTGAAGTGGCTCTTGAGTGGCTCCCAGCACTTGTAGTAGTTCTCATCCAAACACTTGGAGGCCTTGAGTCCCCACTTGGTGACCGCTAGACTTAGAGATGATTCAAACATAAATGCCTGGAGGAAGTGAGGATGGGGATGAGAAAAAAGAGGTGAGATAGATAATAAACACGTTTGATTAGATGTCAACAGAAGGTATGGGTAGGTAAAATCTTCCAATAACAAATCAAAGATTTGTGTGCTAGCATGGTGAGGAGAGCAGGCTCAAGCCCTGAGTTGTGGCTCTGGTCCTACCATTTGTAAGCTGATGAGACCTGGTACAAGATCCTTAACTTCTCAGGGCCTCAAGTTTCATTCTGTAAAATAAAATTTAGCCCTTAAGCTTCACATTGTCTTCATGGTATTAGGGAACTAAGTCTGCTAGATCCAAGGGCAGACGTGGGAGAATCCTGGGAATATCCACCTTCTCAGGGACTTCACTGACTGTGGCTATGTCCTTGTGAGAAAAGGCATACTTCCCACTTTACAGAGGAGGAATTAAGGCTGAGAGCCGGGAAACAACTTGCTTAAGGCGACAAGTCATGGCAGAGTTGGGATTTGAGCCTGTCTTTTCAGGACCCTGACCAAAAGATGGGCTGGGAAAAAGAAAAAAGAGGGAGTACAGGGGGAGAGGGAGGTGAAGGAAAAGGCAGGAATGGCTGTAGCACTTTTAAAAGTCATATCTCAAAAGTGTCTGAAAGGTGGATGTTTCACTGTCAGGAGGTTTTTGTCCACAACAGAAAGAATATGCAAATACTCTGTGCATCTTAGACATTACAGCTTCATCAATTGCTGATTTTTCTTACCCAACATGGCTTTAAAAACAAAACAAAACAAAACCCCAAAACCAAACCCTACAATTTTTATATGCTCACATTTGGAAATTTGTAAAATATAGATAGGCAAAAAGAAAATAATAGAATTATCTTGTGCCACAACCCAAAGCACCCACATTAATGTTTGGGCTCTAATATACATTAACTTCTTTTTTTGCCTAAAACAATGGATATGAGTATCCCTGCCTGAATTTCTGTGACAGACTTGATGGAAAGACTGGATGAGATCATATGGAAGTGCTATGCAAGTTATACAGCACTATTCAAGATGCAGAAAAGGCTTTCAATAAAATTCAGTATATCTTCATGTTAAAAACTCTCAATAAACTAGGCATTGAAGGAACACATCTCAGAATAATAAGAGCCACCCATGACAAACCCACAGCCAACATCATACTGAATGGGGAAAAGCTGGAAGCATTCCCTTTGCAAACCAGCATAAGACAAGGATGCTCTCTCTCACCACTCCTATTCAACATAGTCTTAGAAGTTCTGGCAAAGAGCAATCAGGCAAGAGAAAGAAATAAAGTGCATCCAAATAAGAAGAGAAGAAGTCAACCTATCCCTGTTTGCAGATGACCTGATTCTATATCTAGAAAACACCATAGTCTTGGCCCAAAAGCTACTTCAACAGATAAACAACTTTCAGCAAAGTTCATGATACAAAATCAATATACAAAAATCACTAGCATTCCTGTACACCAACAACAGTCAAGCTGAAAGCTAAATCAGGAATGCAATTCCATTCACAACTGCAACGAAAAGAATAAAATGCCTAGGAATACCCCTAACCAGAGAGGTGAAAGCTCTCTACAATGAGAATTACAGAACACTGCTCAAAGAAATCAGAGATGACACAAACAAATGAAAAAACTTTCCATGCTCATGGATAGGAAAAATCAATATCATTAAGATGACCATACTATCCAAAGCAATGTAAAGATTCAATGCTGTTCATGTCAAAATACCAGAGACATTCTTCGCAGAACTAGGAAAGACTATTTTAAAATTCATATAGAACGAAGAAAGAGCCCAAATACCCAAGGCAATCCTAAGCAAAAAGAACAAAGCAGGAGGCATCATGCTACCCAATGTCAAAGTACACTACAAGGCTACAGTAATCAAAACAGCATGGTAATGATACAGAAACAGGCACATAGACCAACGGAACAGAATAGAGAGCCCAGAAATAAGGCCACACACCTATAACCATCTGATTTTCAACGAAGCTGACAAAAACAAGCAACGGGGAAAGGACTCCGTATTCAAGAAACAGTGCTGGGACAACTGGCTAGGCATATGCAGAAGATTTAAACTGAACCCCTTCCATACATCATATACAAAAATCAACTCATGATGGATTAAAGACTTAAATGTAAAACCCCAAAACTATAAAAACTCTGGAAGACGACCTAGGCAATACCATTCAGGACATAGCCATGGGCAAAGATTTCATGACACAAACATCAAAAGCCGTTGGCAACAAAAGCAAAAATTGACAAATGGGATCTAATTAAACTTAAGAGCTTTTGCACAGCAAAAGAAACTACCAACAGAGTAAATAGACAACCTACAGAATGGGAGAAAATGTTTGCAAGTGACGCATCTGACAAATGTCTAATATCCAACATATATAAGGAACTTGAACAAATTTACAAGAAAAAATAAACAACCCCATTAAAAAGTGGGCAAAGGACTTGAACAGATGCTTTTCAAAGGAAGACATACATGCAGCCAACAAGCAAATGAGAAAAAGCTCAATATCACTTATCATTAGAGAAATGCAAATCAAAACCACATGAAATACCATCTCACACCAGTCTGAATGGATATTAGTAAAAAGCCAAAAAATAACAGATGCTGCTAAGGTTACAGAGAAAAGGGAACACTTATACACTGTTGGTGAGAGTGTAAATTAGTTCAACCACTGTGGAAGGCAGTGTGGTGATTCCTCAAAGAACTAAAAAAAGAACTGCCATTCTACCCAGCAATCCCATTTCTGGGTATTTACCCAAAGGAATGTAAATCATTCTACCATAAAGACACATACATGCAAATATTCATTGCAGCACTATTCTCAATAGCAAAGACATAAAATCAACTTAATACCCATCAAGGACAGCCTGGATAAAGAAAATGTGGCATATATATATATATATAGAGAGAGAGAGAGAAGACATACATAGAGACATTTGTCAGATGCATCATTTGCAAATATTTTCTCCCATTCTGCAGGTTGTCTATTTACCCTGTTGGTGGTTTCTTTTGCTGTGCAAAAGCTCTTAAGTTTATTTAGATCCCGTATGTCAATTTTTGCTTTTGTTGCCAATGGCTTTTCATGTTTTTGTCATGAAATCTTTGCCCATGGCTATGTCCTGAATGGTATTGCCTAGGTCGTCTTCCAGAGTTTTTATAGTTTCGGGTTTTACACACACATATTATATGTATGTATATATACACATACATACATATATTATATGTATGTATATATACACATACATACTTATATGTATGTATATATACACATACATACATATATTATATGTATGTATATATACACATACATACATATATTATATGTATGTATATATGTAATGGAATACTATGCAGCCATAAAAAAGAACAAGATCATGTGTTTCTCAGGAACACGATGGAGCTGGAGGCCATTATCCTTAGCAAACTTAGAGGAACAGAAAACTAAATATTGTATGTTCTCACTTCTACATGGGAGCTAAATGATGAGAACTCATAGACACAAAGAGGGGAACAACAGACACTGGTGCCTACTTGAGAATAGAGGGTGGGAGGAGGGAGAAAATCAGAAAAAATAACTATTGGGTACATTTAGTACCCGAGTGATGAAATAATCTATACAATAAACCCCTGTGACATCAGTTTACCTATATAACAAATCTGCACATGTACCCCTGAACCTCAAATAAAAGTTAAAAATAAATAAATAAATAAATATGTAAAAGATAAAAATGAGTAAGACCTAGCATTTGATAGCATAACAGGGTGACTACAGTCAATAAAAATTTAATTGCACATTTTAAAATAACTGAAAGAGTATAGTTGGATTGTTTGTAACACAAAGGATAAATGCTTGAGGTAATGGATACCCCATTTATCCAATGATGTCATTATTACATATCATATGCCTGTATCATAATATCTCATGTACTCCATAAATATACATACTTATTATGTATCCATAAAAATAATAAGTAATAAAAAATTTGAAAAGCACTATTCAGACATAAGGCTTATTATGGCTATTCCTATGTCTCTTTGCTGGCTGCTTCTTAAAAGCCTCTCCATTTGGCTGGATTAACAAAAGCCCCATCCAGCTGACTTTGAAGACGGTGTTGTATCAAGTTAATCACTCCAAACAAGAATAAGGATAAGGTATATAGATAGACCTGGATCTGAATTATACAATGGGAAATGGTGAGGACGACCAAAAGTTAGGTCTCGGTAAGATGTTGGACCCTCTGTCCTCAGGTATTCTGGCTCCTTGATACCCAGGGTCTCCCATCCTAGTAGGAGAGCTCTTTCTCACTAGTAATTCAAAGCATTGCTCCTCATAGAAACAGCCCTGTCCTATGCCTCACTGTTGTAAAACACAGCTCCCTCATAACATTGACCACCCAAAGCCAAATTGGGGCACCAAAGGTTATTGAGTGGCAACTCCGGAAGAGCCTCCAGGAATGCACCTCCAGGAGACTTCAGAGGTAACAGCTTAACTGAGACTGCCAAACTGCATCTCATTGAGATGTAGGGGTTCGACAGAAACTCCACAGAGGCCCTTGAAATGGGAAATAGAGCCAAAGCAAGCAAATGGGACTCTGTACACCCTCCTTTTGCAGAGGAGCTCCACCAACTCTGGCTCCAGGGTTGGGACTGAAAGCAAACTGCACTAGACAGAGGGAGATAATACTCACTGCTTAGGGTAATTTGCAAGCATGAAGCAGGCAAGTCTGTGCTATGGATTTTAAACCAGGTAGCATTCAAGGCATTTATTTTAAAAAGTTAAGCAAATTTGCATGTGATTTAGCATAAAATTACTCCCCGTGGACCATAAACTCTACCTCGAAGAATGCAAAATAAAATCAAGCACTGCAGCCAACTGCAATTGTGTTCAGCCTCAATGTTTACAGCCTGACACAGGAGGAATACAAAACAGGTTTTAAATCCCATCAGTTGCATCCATGCCAAAGCAGAGCAAAGAAAAATGAAAAAAACAGCTGAGAATTGCTTCTCACAAGCCCTGACTATAGTGAGGCAAGGGCTTTTTGACCCTCCTTGGTTTGAAACATGTGCTGAAGGTGACATCCTGCCTCCACTACTATTGTGGCCCTGGAGGATTACTTCAAAAAGCAGAAGACTCTGAGACATAGCATATTCCTAGGGCTGCATATGGATACAGGAAGAGGCTTCACATAGTATTAATAATATTCCCTTACATTTGAATAGTGTTGGACAGTCTGTTAGGTTCACTTATAGCCATCTGCTGGGTTGGATACTATATCCATTTTATAGATGGGGAAAATGAAACACAGAGAAGCTAAGTGAGTTGTTCAAGATCACACAGGAACTAAGAGATGGGACCTGAACTCAGAACCCAGGTCTGACTCCAAGTCCGAAGATCTTTCTACACCACCACAACAGAAGTCTAGCATATACACAAGGATGTGTGTATATATACATGGAAATGTACTTATGCAGTCATGTAACTCTCCCCCTTTTGACTCTTCCTCTGTGACTTTGGAGAAATGAAAAATGGCCACCTCTTTCAGCAAGGGTGGGGAGTTCAGAGGCCGCCGGAATCTGGCAGTTAACATACTTACCATAGTGCCATCGGCAATCCTCTCAGGTGCCAGCTTGGCCTTGCTGGCCTTCTCAAAGCAGTCAGCATCAGGTCCATGGGGGGTCATTGTGCTGTGCAGACTGCCTCCACCCGGCAGGAACCCACCTTGCTTTGCCTCATAGTGACCTCGGATGAGTCCCATGAACTCACTCATGCAGTTCCCTGGGAAGGTTGAAGCAGGATTATTTTTATTATCCAAGCAAGGCAAGACCAGTAAAACACAAAGATCCCTTAAGCATTATTTCTGCAGAATTCCAAGAACATAGGAGAAACTAATAAATTGTATAGGATTAATAAAGAATGTGGATTGACAGAAGAACAATCACAAAACATTCATATTGGCATTCTTGGCAGGCATGGCTCTACTCCATGGCCATGTGGATTATCAGAGGTCTTGAGTTCCACTATCTTACAGGAATCAGGCTAGATCTAAAGAAAATCAGGGCCCAGAGAAGACAATAATAATTAAAATGGTAGTCATAATAAAGAGTGAATGTACTCTATCATGTAAGCTTACAAGCCCTCTATCAAAGTTATCTTATCTCCCAGATCATAACCCTTTCCCAGGCAGCTCCACTGTAGGACACAGCAACACCATATTTCTAATTCCCAATCTAGAAGGCTTAGATTGGGTGTGTGTGTGTTTTGATGGATGATGATGTAATGAAAAGAACTCCAGACTTAAAGTCCATTATCAGATGATAATCTGTGTGAAAGAGTCTTGGTATGTGTATAAAACAGACCAGAAATGCTATTTATTATGACAAATATTATCTTCTATAGATGAATCTGTTATCCTCTTGTTTTTCTGTTCTTCAAAATGTCTTCTGGATTTGTTTTTATTTTTTCTATTTTCATTGATACCCTATTCATAGAGTCCTAAACCTTAAAATTGGAAGGGATCCTTACTTCTACTCAATGTAGAAGAAATTTCTATATCTTTCCTGACTGATTACCTCCTGGGCTCTGCCTGGATGTGAATGGAAGTTTTCCACTCTACAAAGCGTATCATATTATTGAAGAGCTCTGTGCATAAGAAAGCTCTTACATTAAATGGAAATTTGCTTTTATATGAGTTAAATTCATTGGTCCTAGTTTGCTTTCTAGAGTTACACAAAATTTAACAAAAACCACCATGCTTCCACTCTTCCAATCTTATGCTTCTATTGAAATAAAGCTCTTTATTAGAGTAGCAATACAATAGAGCAGGAATTAAAGAAATATAACACCTGAGCAAATTTAAGTGTCTTTGCATCTCAAACCACACATCTACTCATCCATTCATTCATCTGTCCTTTTCCCCCTTCACCCATCTGCCCATCCAGCCAGCCAGCATATATAATTAGATACTGTGCTGGGTACCATGAGACAGAGATGAATAAGAAATAGCTTTTAAAGCTACTTAAAAAAGAAATAATTAACAACAACAACACAGCCTTTAAAGCTACTCATAGTCTGTCCTGTGAGAGTACTGAGAGTGTAAACCAAGGACGGAGTAGAGAGATGTGGCAGTGGCAACCCTTACAAAATTACACTGGACAGGATGCATGCCTGCCCTCTTGCTTACATGTGCAGTATAACCAAGTGCCAAATGCTTTTATAATTTACTAAGCAACCACACCCACCCTGCTCAGAAACAGAAAGCTACTGCAGGCCCCTACAAAGTGAGTGAGAGTTTGTGAGCTCCTGCTGAAGAGGGAGACCCAGACCATAGCTCTACTTGTTTCTCTATGAAGTGGAAATACAGAAAAAGCAGCAAATGTAAGCATAAAGTGTCTAAGTTTAAAAAACAGTTCAGCTCATGACTTAAATTTGGTGTCACGCTCCTTGCTCTAGTATGTGTCCTCAGGGTCACCTTCATGGCTTAATTTTAAGAAGAGAGCAAAATGGAATTCAGCTTTGATCTGAATATGAATTTAGATAGCAATGAGCTTGGTGATGACATTTCTATATCATTTTCTATATTTCAAAGGACAGTGGGAGGATAGACCTTGCCTTTCTGATTAAAGCTGAATCTAGTTGACTAAGGCACATTAAGATGATCGGAGGCAATATTTCTATAGAAATAATTCTCCATTTTCTCTTATAATAAAGTCACATCAAAGTAGCAAAGATTTTGAGTATTGCCAAGGCAATATTTTTAATATCTCTAGAAAACTCTTTTCTTTTTTTTTTTTTTTTTTTGAGACGGAGTCTTGCAGGCTGGGGTGCAGTGGCCAGATCTCAGCTCACTGCAACTCCGCTCCAGGTTTCGCATTTCCTGCTAGCCTCGAGTAGCTGGGACTACAGGCGCCGCCACTACCCGGTAGTTTTTTATTTTAGTAGAGACGGTTCACCGTGGCCGGATGGTCTCGATCTCCTGACCTCTGATCGCCGCTCGGCCCCCAAAGTGCTGGATTACAGGTTGAGCACGGCCGCTAGAAAACTCTTTTCTAACCTGGGATCCTGTAGTTTTTTCCAACTAACTCAGAGTACCCATACCTTTATAAGATCTACCTTGGGGCCAAATTTACTTTGAGAGTCATTAAAAAACTACAGGAGGCATCTCTCAAGGTTATTTGTGTCAGGAAGTCTGAACTACAAATAAAAATTAAGGAGTGGGTTGAGACCCTATAGCACAGTAGCAAACTTGTCTAAATCAGATGACTCTATTATTCCTCCACCTAGGGCCAGGGACATGCTCTAGGCTGGTATTTCTCAACAAGCAGTCTGTAAACCTCCTTCATCAGAATCCCCTGACTTGCCAGTGAAAAAAAATGCAGATTCTGGCCAACCACGGTGGCTCACACCTGTAATCCCAGCACTTTGGGAAGTCAAGGCAGGTGGATTGCTTGAGTTTAGGAGTTCGAGACCAGCCTGGGCAACATGGCGAGATTCCGTCTGTGCTAAAAATGCAAAAAAAAAAAAAAAAAAAAAAAGCCAGCTGTGATGGTGCACACCTGTGGTCCAAGCTACTCAGGAGACTGAGCAGGGAGGATCACTTGAGCCTGGCGAGTGGAGGTTGCAGTGAGCTGAGATTGTACAACTTGCACTCCAGCCTGGGTGACAGAGCGAGACCCTGTCTCAAAAAAAAAAAAAAAAAAAAAAAAAAAAAAAAAAAGGCAGATTCAGCATCACTTGGGAACTTGTTAAAAATGCAGATTCTTAGGTCCTATCCCAGACCTACTGAAGCAGAAATTCTGAGGATGGAGCCCAGTAATCTGTGTTTTAATAAACCTTCCAGCTGACTCTGACACATGGTAAATGTAAGAACCACTACAGGCACACAGAGTAACCTCAATAAAAGAACAAGAGTGAAACAGTGAATTATTAAGGAGTAGCATGTGAAGTACAGACTATCAGCCAGGGCAATTTTCTCTCCTTGACAACAGGCCTGTAGGTCACTAACTTCCAGGAGGAGAAAAGTTAGAGTCCTTAGTAGGCTTGACATTTTTTAGAAGGGACTTATGATGCTATTCACAAAATAGCTGGTGTCTTTGCAGTGGTAACCGATTGTTTTCTTTTCTCTACCATGATGGTGTTATCTGAAAAGGGGATGCTGGCATTTGACCATGGAGTGGCCTTCGTCCGTCCTGAGGGCCTTCATTCCTGATGCTATAAAATAGCTAAATTGGCCATTCAGTGCACTGTTGTTTTCTGTTGAGCCCTGACACCTGGGAACTGGTATATATAAAGAGGGACCTAATATAAACAGAAGGCCCTGGAGTTTACTAAAGAAAGGAATTTGTTTTCTAGAATGTTCCAGGTGGAATGCCTCTTAGAGTCTTCCCAGAACTCTATGTACAAAAAAATGCACACTCCAGGAAGTAGAATTGCACACTGACCTTTGATTGGATTTTCAGCTAGCTATTGCACAATTAAAAATGTCAACCTCATTAAGTACAGCCATGAAATACTTTATTTATTCTTGTTGACACATTCACTTATTAAATAAATTTTTATTAGAAGCATGCTATATATCAGGCACTATGCTAGCCATACCAGTTAGTGGTCATGAGTGTTTGCTCTGGAGTCAGACAGCCTGCAATTAAATCCTGACTCTACACTTAACTTGCTGTGAGTCCTTGAGAGAGTTACTTAATCCCTCTTGTGTCAGTTTAATTTTCTGAAAAAAGGGGCGGGGGGGACAATAATACTACTTGTCTCTTACAATTATTATAAACACTTCATGAGTTAGTTTTTTAAAAAACTTGTAACAGGGCCATAGAAATTGGCCAATAACTATTAGGTGCTAAGAATAATAATATTAATAAAATAAAAATAGTAGATTTGTTAGGTCTTGTACTAGGCAACAAATATTCTGTAGAAACTCTTTCCAGAATAGAGTCTATTCCCTAATGTAGGCTGCAGTCTGCTTTGCCCTGCCAAAATAATTGGAGAATGCACATTTCTGTTTTTCTCTCTCTCTCTTTTTCTTTCTCTGGTTCTCTGAACTAGACTTAGGTGATGAACTTTCCCAAAACAACAGACTAACTAACAATTTCCCCAGCATTCTCCAAAACGAAACATCTAAAATGTGAGGAAACTTGTTTAGAAGCCTTTCTAACAAGGCTTCTAAACTTTACCAGCCTTTCTGCCTCTTACAGGGACAGAGAAACCGGGAACCAGGCTCAGAGTCAATGCATCACTATTGATATAATTTGGATGTATGTTCCTTCCAACTCTCATGTTGAAATGTGATCTCCAGTGTTGGAGCTGGGGCCTGGTGGGAGGTGTTTGGGTAATGGAGGCAGATACCTCATAAATGACTTGATGCCGTCATGACGGTTATGAGTAAGTTCTCACTCTATGAGTTCACATGAGGTTTGGCTGCTCAGAAGAGGCTGGGACTTCCTCTTTTCTCTCTTGCTTGCTCTCCTCATGTGATACGCCAGCTCCCCCCTTGCCTGCCACTATGATTGTGTTTCCTGAGGCCTCATTAGAAAAAGATGCCAGCACCATGCAGCTTGTACAGCCTGCATAACCATGAGCCAAATGAACCTCTTTTCATTATAAATTAAGTAGCCTCAGGTATTCTTTATAGCAATGAAGAATGGACTAACACAATTACCATCCCTTAAAGAGATTAAAGCTTGGGGATCAGCACTAGGCCTTGTGAGGCAGGATCCTGAATTCAAGCCAGGGTAGGTGTCCAGAAACAACCCAGGCATTATTCCCAATGGGTAGTGCTCACTGCTTTGTTGTCTCTTTGGCTTGCAAATGTGGCTTGGTAAAATAGAGACTTACTATGGTAATAAGGAGGCCTGAAGGTCTTATCAGCAACCCCCCATCGAGGTGGGAAGATGACAAAATCAGCGATGGCCACTCCAGGGCGGACAGACTTGGCAGTCAACACTGTGAAAATGGATGGGTCCTGTGAATACACAAGGAGAGACTGAACGCACGATGCAAGGGAGGTGACTGGACAATGACACATATTGCATGCATACATGAAGGTGTTTGCAAGTGACATGCTAATTTCTTTTTATTTATTTTTATTCAACTTTTAATTTCAACTTTTATTTTAGATACAGGAGTACATGTGCAGGTTTGTTACACAGGTATATTGTGTGATGCTGAGGTTTGGGGTAGGGATCTGATATGGTTTGGCTGTGACCCCACCCAAATCTCATCCTGAATTGTATCTCCACATGTTGTGAGAAGGACCAATGGGAAGTAATTGAATCGTGGGGGTGGGTTTTCCTGTGCTGTTCTCGTGATAGTGAATAAGTTTCACAAGATCCGATGGTTTTATAAAGGGCAGTTCCCCTACACATGCTGTCTTGATTGCTGCCACACAAGACACGGCTTTGCTCCTCCTTCGCCTTCTGCCATGATTGTGAGGTCCCCCCAGCCATGTGGAATTGTGGATACATTAAACCCCCTTTTTTTTTTAAATAAAATACCCAGTCTCAGGTATTTCTTCATAGCAGTATGAAAATGGACTAATACAGGATCCCATCACCCAGGTAGTGGGCATAATATCCAATAGGTAGTTTTTCCACCCTCCCCCTTTTAGTAGTCTCCAGTGTCTATTTTTCTCATGTTTATGTCCATGGGTGCTCAATGTTTAGCTCTGACTTATAAGTGAGAACATGCAGTATTTGGTCTTCTATTCATGCATTAATTTGCTTAGGATTATGGCTTCCAGCTGCATCCATGTTGCTGCAAAGGGACCGCCTAATTTCTGATCAAACAACAGAAGTCTGGGCTTGTCATCAAGGTGCAGTAATCACTCATATGACTTTTTCCTCTTGCTGTGCTTGAGGCAAAATGAATTAACACCAGCTGAAAGGATTCTGAACTACTTTTTCACCCTGCTGAGCCCACATTACATGCAACCTATTACCCCGTGGGTCTCAGAACCAATAGTGCCTGCTTCTCAATCTCAGGTCAAGTTGACTAGAGCTGAGATGTGCAGCAGAAGGGATGCTCAGAGCGAAGTGGAAATAGAAATAAAGCAAAATCCAAGTTTTGGTGTAGGTGTGCTCCTCTTTGGGAGAACACAGAGATTCCAGATTGTATCCATTGGCAGAAAAGTCTGAGAAGTCGTTCATTGCTTTCCTACCTTTGTTTGACTTTCAGGTCTAAAACACATCATTTACATCACTAGTCTTCATAGTGGTAGCGTAAGATGGAATAGGTTGAGGGACGAGATTATACTTTTGAAAAATCTTCAGAATTCTTTAGTGAAAAGATTGAGATTCAATTTAATTGAAATCAACAATCATGTTCCCTTTCAGATGCCATGCAAGAGTCTGGAGATTCAAAGATCATGGGGATAGATTCCCCGCTTCTTTAGCATTAACTGGGGGGTGGCGGTTGGGCAGCTAATTCTACCTGAAAGGGTCAAAGAGGGCTTCAAAGAGGAGGTGACATTTGAGGTAAGTATTCAAGAATGAACAGAAAGAAAGAAAAAGAGAGAGAGAGAAAGAGAGAGAGAGAGAAGGGAAGGAAGGAGGGAAAGAAGGAAGGAGCACATGTACCCTTGAACCTAAAATAAAAGTTTAAAAGAGAGAGAGAGAGCGGAGAAACCTACACATGTACCCTTGAATCTAAACTAAAAGTAAAAAAAAAAAAAAGAAAGGAAGGAAGGAAGGTGGGGGGGATGGGGGAAAAAGGGAGGGAGGGAGGAAGGACTAAGGAAGTGGGAAGGAAGGAAAATGACATTTTAATCACAGAAAACACATGAAAGTGCACAGAGATTTTGTTAAGAGGAGATAAGGCTAAAACCCCAGTGCATTGACAGAAGGGAGAGGGGCAAGAGGTGATACTGGAAAATGAGTCCAGGGACAGATGGTGAAGAGCATCAAACACCACGCTTCAGAGCTCAGACTTAATCCTAAGCCATGGGAAACTTGCAAAGGCTTTCTAATGAGTACAGTGGTAGCATGATCAGAACTGAATTTTGGAAAAATAATTATAGCAGCAATACAGAGAAGATTGCACCTGTGTAAATTCAAATAAAAATAAACCCAACCCTTATTGCTGTGAGAGCTGACATTTCTGCATCTGTCATGGGAAATGGTCTAAACTATTCAAGCAAAGGTAGTGAAGCAGCAAAGGTGGTGAAGTAGCAAAGGTAGTGAAGCAGCAAAGGTGGTGAAGCAGCAAAGGTAGTGAAGCAGCAAATCAAGCTTTATCAGTGTCTCGGGATCCTTTCTCATGCTGCTTGTTTGGGGTCTGATATCTCACTTTTCTTTTCCCCTTTGCTTTTATTAAGAGTTGCTGCTGTTCGGAGAGGTGGTTTTGTCCCCCCAGAGATAAACTGAACTAGCTCAGGATGATCCTTTTGCCTCTGAGTCTCTGACTTCTGCTCTAATCATCCTTCCAGCCTGTGGGTTAAGTTCATCTCTTATGAAGTGGGCTGCAGAATGAACTGCCCCCCACCCCCCGATCTCAGAACCATCACTTTATTAAGAATGTAGGGTCTTGGGAGCCTGCACTGTAGACCAGACACTTATTTGTGGCCCCCTAACTGAGTGAAAAATATGACCAAGTTCATGCTCTAGAATTTCTTTTTTAAACTCAAGCACTGAACGTTATGAGTAACTTTAGAAGTGGGCTGTTCGTTCTGTCACTGCCAAATACAGCCAGGAGTGAAGGCACTGGGGTGAGAAGTCAGAGATCATAGAGGAGACTCTTGAGAGTTGTGAGGTCAGAGACTTCTTCAAATTCACAAAGTTCCTTTCTCCTCCTTCTACCACTGACATTACCACTTGGTTGTTTTGGGGGATAAATTTTCCACAAAGAAATTGTTTATCCACTTAGTTTGGCAAACACAAGTCAGACTATCACGAATGCTCTGTAGAGAACAAAGCTGTGTTCACAGGGAATGTTGAGTATCTGGCTTGGCTCCCCTACTAGCTATGTTATTTACTCCTTCACCATAAGATAAATGACTATATCTAGGGCTTCCAACGATGACTCTGGAAATGTCAGGAGTCTACTGTGGACCCCTCCCACCAAAGGGTTGCCTCACCCCAATGCCCCTGCAAGGTTCAGACTTACTGCATGGTCAAAGGCCACTGAGTTGATAACCATGAAATTCTTCAGGTTGTACTTGTAGGGTGTATAATTCCCGTGCCAGGCCACAACATTGAATGGGGAGACATCCTAATCACAAAAAGCAGGAAAGGATGATTTTACCATCAAATGCTTTTGTAACTGTGATCCCACAATATGTACTGGGCATACCTCTCTCTTCTTTTGATTTGATTTTGTTCTTGATTTAATTTTACTATCCTTTGGGAGAAGTACAACCCTGAATCATTTTGTGGTTGCTCCACACACCCTCTACTTAGCCACTAACCCTATTTTTCTGGTTCATAAGCTGCAGCTGCCTTCTGATCACAAATGCAGCAGAAGCACAGCACATTCTCCAAGTAGTGCCTTTTCAACAATTTTTAACCTAACTGTGAGGATCTGTGGATGTCAGCAATTCTCAAACAATCTGGGCTACCTTCTGTTTCCTGGAGCAGAGAGTACCTGCTGTGATAGTTCTCCAGGTAATTTCAGCCTAGAGGAACTTGCAATAGACACAGTGCCTGGGTTGGTGAGTCCAGGAGAGGGGAGAAGGCCTCTAAAAGTTCCCACTCCAAGGACTTGAGATTTCAGAGCAATCCTAACATAATATTTCTTGGTCCTGTCCTGGGGTAGAAGAGGATCAGTGTTCTGCTATAGGAAGGTTGTCCCTTCTGTATCTATGGGTCTGAAAGCTCTAAAGATTTTAATGAAGGCACTACTCATAGAGGCATGGTTAGGGTTAACTGGAATGACTAGAAGTGTTGAGGTATCTGAGCCTAGCAATAGTGGTAAGACACTGCCATTCCTGGGCATGTGGAATAAGGAGGGAAATATTGTTATAGTAGTTCAGCAAATGCTAGGACTATAAAGAAGGGTGCTACCCAGTGGTGTGCTGGTAAATATTTAACAACTAGCACTCTGAAAAATATATAAAGCATTGACATATAGTGTTTACTGATTTCTAAGGTGGATATAGTCTCACCATGATGATTTTCTAGCTACCAATATGACATCACTGAATACAGAGTTGGACAGAAGTGTGCATATCAGCTTTTGCAAGTCACTATGAATCAGCTCCAGCATACCACTAGGGCTGTCCAACGGGAACTGAGGTCATATGGGGGATGCAGCTACTGCCAGAAACACAGTCCTAAACAGGGAGGAAGCAGGGGAAGAAATCTCCCAATTTGTCTTTCCTCCTGCCTTGCAGTTTCCTGTGGGTTGAACCCAACAGAAGCCAGCTGGCTAGAGAGCCTGGGTGATACAGTTAACCTTCCAGGACACAGATCATGGCAAAGAGGGAGAATGGATCAGTGGGGACTCACACAGAGAATAACCAGCACAGGGTCTACCTGGAAAGTGCAAATCTTTCTGGAGGAGATACTGGCTGGTTCTAGAATTGTGGTTCTTTAACAATTGTATGTAAACAATGATCTGGGGAACATGCTTAAAATGAATGTAGGTTTCCATGTCCCATCTCCAGAGCTTATCATTTTTTGCAAGGCTAGAGTAATATCTGAGGATCTGCATTTTTTTTTTTTTTGAGAGGGAGTCTTGCTCTGTTGCCCAGGCTGGAGTGCAATGGCATGATCTTGGCTCACTGCAACCTCTGCCTCCTGGGTTCAAGCGATTCTCCTGCCTCGGCCTCCCAAGTAGCTGGGATTACAGGTGTGCACCACCACGTCTGGCTAATTTTTGTATTTTTAGTAGAGACGGGGTTTTGCCATGTTGGCCAGGCTGGTGTTGAACTCCCGACCTCAGATGATCCATCTGCTTCAGCCTCCCAAAGTGCTGGGATTACAGGGGTGAGCCACCATGCCCGGCCTAGGATCTGTATTTTAAACAAGCCTCCTTGAGGGTTTCTGATACAAATAGCCGTGGAATTTTGAGAGACCCTGACCCAGAGAATATGAAAATAACAATGTGTCTGCTTCAAGGGTTAGTTTTAAGTGCCAAACTGGTTGGCCTCAGCTGGTTCGCATTATCTCTAGATGTTGCCTGAGAAGAATAACATACCTTGGAAAACATAAGGAATAAGTCAAATAGACAAAATGAAGCAAACGAATAATGCTAAACAGAAGAGATCTTTGGGTTCTTCTTATTATATGATTATTTTATTCTAATATATATTCAGTATATTTCATAATATGTTATAGAGTCCATATTACATTGTTGTTATTATTATTTATTAAGATCTGTGCCTTTGCTTGTGTCCTGAATTTGCCAGCCTGGTGGTACAAACCAAGCCAAGCTAATTAACTGAATTCTACTTGTTTTGTAGAATTGCTTGCATTTGAAATAGGGTGGTATTGGAGAGTATAAATCTTGGTTGATCTGTTAAATCATTTCCTTTTCAGAACATATTATGCTGCCCATATATTATGCTTTCCACACCATTTACAGAGACCCACATATTGCTAAGATTTTCATTGCTTGGTGAGTAGAAAGGGCACAGCCTTTGGAGTCATAGAGATATGGGTTCAAATGCTGGTTCTGCCACCTACTGTGAAGTTGGTAAATTATTTATCATTACTGGCCTTTTTCATGACTATGAAGGTATCATTGACTACTAGAACTATTTGCTTTATCTGTAGTGCCATAGTGGTATGATAACAATGAAAGGATATATGTAAAGTTTCTAACACTCGCCTTGGCAATCAGTAAGTGCTTAATCACCCTTCATTTCCTCCCCTGCCTGCCAACCCTCTTACTTTACCTGTTTGGCAGCAAACAGCTTGCCCTGGTATTTATTAATGACAGTGTAACCACCTGGTACTTGGCGATCCTCATACCAGGCAACGGGTATCAAGAAATCACGAGGATTGGCCAAGCCATTGGCCCCTAGAACACAGTAACCCAAAAGTCTTTTAGAAACTTCCAAAACATAGGAAAGACGCCCATGGTTGCATGAAGAGAAAGGCTTTCTTTCATGTCAAGAGCCACTCCACAAATCACTTTCATTGCTTAAAGATTCACTGGATTTCCAGTCTGGTACCTTTTAGGAAGACCCAAGGAATCTGGTCAGAAAAAAATTCACAAAAACCAGCATTACCTTCTAAGGTTGTGGAGTGACTATGGTTAACAAAACCACCTTATATGCATTATCTTATCACTACAGGTGAGGGGAAGGGAAAAGAGAAAGAGACCTGAAAAGAGGAAAAGGGAATATCTGATAGAACTCTAGAACTTTTTCTTTTAAAGGAACGCCTGAATACTCTAGAACTCATGACAGTCCTTGATCTCAGATAGGAAGGGTTACGTGCTGTTGCCTGAGGCATGCCTCTGCTCCTTAGACAGAATTCAGATTCCAAGTCTGAAAACTGCTCTCCAGCCTGAAAAACCCCGTCTGCCACTCAGGAAGAAGTATTTAGGACCTGCCTGCTTACCTTTGGTTAGGAGTGAGTGTTTCCTCCAGAGAAAGAAAATAAATCAAAAGAGCAAACATGAAAAACGTACATGCAAAAACAATGCAACTCTGAGAGGAGCGAGCTGAGGAGTGTTTTACCATTTCCAGCTCCTGGGGTTAAAAAAAAATAAGCCCCCGGCTGGTTAGCAAATTATAGATATTTTCCAGAGGGTACATGTTCCATGGAACCTGGAGGCTATGCTGACTATAGAGCAGCAGGAAGCCAGAGCAGAGTGGGAAGAGTGGGCGGTGAACAGGATGACAGACGGCCCACCACGGCTCCAGCTGCCTCTTGCTGCCTCCCACCTTCCTCTGCATATTTGGATTCCTCAGGGGAGTTGACCAGAAGGCACACACTGGCCTGTCCCTGTTTGCTCTAAAAAGCTGTTGACAAGGAAGGGAAGAACTGGGAGATGTGACCAAAGAGGAAACCAAGGACCAATTTTTCCAGTCACTCCTTTCACTCCAAGAGACAGTTTGAGAACAACCCCTCCTAACATTTTCACTTCCTCCAGCTTGCCAGAAGAATGGGGGCTGGGGGGACCTTGGTTCACTTTTGAATGTTTTGATCTGCCTCCTGGAGTGTGGTTTCTAGATCCTTCATAGCACTGAGTTATGTACTTTTTTGACTGCTAAGTGTGTGGATTTGGTGGGGTGTACACAGAGGTTCGTAGACTATGTGTCACCCAGTCCATCCCTCCTTTCCATAGGAATACAGCCCAGGGAGTTTTTATGGCCTTCCTACTTTATAGTCTTACAATATACAAAACAAAAAGCAACCCAAACCAATCCATTATAAATCTCACTGACTTAACAAAAAGATCTTCCTCTTAATCACAAAGCTCATTCTCACTTGTATGCTTTTGCAAAGCTGTTCCCTTTCCTCTTTACTCTCCTCAACTTTTCATAAAGAATTAGTCAAATTCTCATCTCTTCTGTGGAGCTGTTTCTGGCGACCCTAGCCCACAGTAACCCAAACTTCTATATTCATTCCTGTACACACTATGCAACCAGAAATCTATTACATGCTGCCTTTATCTCCAATGCCTATATACTATTCTAGAGAGATTTATAATAGATTGGTTTGGGTTGCTTTCTGTTCTGCATATATTTTCTGGCAGACCCTTGGTCTAGAGAAGAATTTGTCTAGAGAGAAAAGTGGAAGTTTGAGTGAGACAGCGAAGGGAGAAGGATGTTTAACTTTCATGCAATTATCTGTGTCCTACATCTCAAGCGAGGCGTAGAGGCTTGCAATGAAGATTTACCAATTGGTCCAAGGTCAGGTAACTCAAAGTGGACACCGTAGACCTCCAAGAGGTAGCCCCTGGTCTCCTCAAAGACATCTATGCTGAACCGCATTCCTCTCTGGAATGGAAAGCAGACACTGGTGTGCCTTCTGAAATCACAGCTGTAGTTATAAAGAAGCTGCCCAGAGCCATAGCATGTCCCACATGCAAAAGTAAAGCTCTGGTTTGTTGAGCTGCTTGGGAGGTTACCAGAGCAAACATGAGTTAAAAAGAAAAACTTAAATCCTAACCACATATTGACCCAAGCCAATTCTAGTCTACCCTCTCATTGGGTCCAGAGATAACGGAAGCCTGATTTAGCCACATTTAAAAAAAAATGTCCACCTTCACTGCCTCTACTGCCATTAGTGGGAACAGGGCCTTATCCAGAGTGTAGGTAAATATTTAGGAAAGTGCAGTGACAAGTGGTCTTTGTTTTAGAATTATGTGCTATATTAAAACAAAGCAGGCACCCAAGCTTGCTTACTCTTCAGCACATGGAACCTTCTGCATAACTCAAATTCCCTTCTCGTTGCCCAGACATGACAGAGAAATTTTAGAGTTGGAAATAGCAGCAGCTGAAACATCTGACTGCTCCCAAATTAGTGAGAGGCAGGGAAGAGAAGGGGACACATCACCAACCTGAATGACGCAGATCTCATTGGGCTGTACAAGCATCTTGCCAAACTCAGTGTAAATGAGAAGGTTCCCTTTCTGGGGAACTGAACAAAAAAAGACAGGGCAGTGGTGAGCAATTCTTTTGGTGTGATAACCATTTCATGAACAGGAAAGGCTTAAGGCTGCATTTGCTTTTTCATTCCAAATGAAAAGAGCTTTCTTGAGTCTCTTGGGGAAAAAGATAAATTCTGACAACTTAGATTAGTTATTTTCCTATCTAGAAGAATGTGAATAAAACAATGACTCTGCTTTTTTGGTCACCAGGCAAGAAACTTGTATATGCACAATTTTGTGACATGGCCAAAAAGGGGTAGCAGAAATAGGATGGAAAATCACCCATTTCTGATAGTTCCAGTGAAAGGCTGACGTTTGCTTGTGTAACATATACACCAAAATGTTGATTCCAAAATATTGATACTAAAAAAACCATCAAATATAATAGGCAGACCAGAACAATATCTGATAGACTTTACATTTTAGATGGTCTCATGAAAATTTGAATTTAAATTGCAGTTACTAATGATAAATGGGCTTTTACTGAGTGAGTTTGAAGGCAAATACAGTTACCTTAATAAGTTAATCCTATTAGTATTAGTCTTCATTTCTTTCCAGCTGCCCAGGTCTCCCATATCAGAAAGGTCCAGAAGGGAAGGGCAAAGACAGACAAGGAAATAGAATAGGAGCTTTGAGGTACACTAGAAATCTTTTCCAGACCACCTGTGGCCTCTAGACCTCAGTCTCTGGATTGCACTAAATGAAATAAGAGATTGGAGAATGAAGGAAAATAATGTGCATAAAATTAGAAAGCAGCTTGTAGTTAGGGGTCAATTAACAGTGAGGAGGTCGGAAGTCTTCAGAACTCACCAATCAAGAAGTCCCCATCTGAATTGTAAAAGCATCTGAAATATATAGAGTAATTCTTGTGATTTTCATTTCTAACATTATCTAGACAAATTACTTCATAACACAAATCATTGTTTAGTGCCTATGTACCAAGCTAAGAGCTGGGTATAAAATGGGGAGCAAAATGACCCAGGCTCTGCCCCTGTGGAACTTAGAGTCTAGTGGGGAGTCAGAGAGCAATCAAATAATTACAGAACAATATCACTGCAGACAGTAATGACCCTGTGAAAATCAAGTTCAAGGGAATGAAAGAATAGGGACTTGGTTAGTTTGAAGAATCAGCAAAGGCTTCTTCAAAGAAGGGACACATTTGACCTGAGGTCTGAAGGTGTTATCTAGGTGAGGGTTTGGAGAAAGGAAAGAATGTTCCAGGCAGAAGGAACAGCAAGTGCAAATGCTTAGAAGGAGGAGGGCACGTGGCAGGTTGAAAGAAGTGAATGAAGCCCAGTGTGGCTCAAGTGGAGAGAGTGGAGGTGGGCTGATACGAAATTTGACCCAAAGAGAGGCCTCCAGAGCCTTGTCATAGGGCTGTGATCTTGTCCCTGATTCATGGCTCACAAATCGCCATTGGGCTTTGGACACAAATGGTCCAGTTCCAGAGGTAGTGTATAATAAGGCAGGAATGCCATTTGCATACTTTGTTTTGCAAAGCCAGTACATAAGCTCCTCTACTTAGGAATTTTAAGCTTACACAGAACTATTAGCTGAAGCCAAAGTCGGGTAGCCTGCTACCAACAGGTGGTCCTAAAGGAAACTCACACAGTGTGACCTGGGACTCAAGAACAGCCCTGGGGAATCTTAGAAATTAAGGATATTCAAAGGCACATGTTCTCAGGATCTCCTGAGGGCTGGGTCATGGGTCACTGGTCACTCATATTTGGCTCAGAATACATCAATTCAAATATTTTACATATTAATAGTTTGACTAATTTTGTCGACAATAATTTGGCACCTGGACAAATTGGGCCTCAGAGAAGATTCAGAACCCTGAAGGAGTTGCCTGAACTCAGAGCTAAGGTACCAGCAGGGACCCATTGAAAGCGCCTTCAACTTTGGGCTTCTCCTCTGATGGAACTAAGTCCTCCTGAGCCCTGTTTCGTTGACAGTTCTTGATTTTTTCCTCCTAGGAAGTTCTCATTTAGGTTCCTAATTCTAGTTCACAGGTGCATTCTAAAGGATTTTCTCCATTGCATTTTTCTTCTTCTTTCGTCTTTCTTCTTTCTTCTTTCTTCTTCTTCTTCTTTTTTGAGATGGAGTCTCACACTGTCTGGCCTGGAGTGCAATGGTGTGATCTCGGCTCACTGCAACCTCCGCCTCCCAGGTTCAAGCAATTCTCCTTCCTCAGTCTCCTGAGTAGCTGGGATTACAGGCGCCCGCCACCACGCCTGGCTAATTTTTTGTATTTTTTAGTAGAGACGGGGTTTCAGTATGTTGGCCAAGCTGGTCTGAAGCTCCTGACCTCGTGATCCGCCCACCTCGGCCTCTCAAAGTGCTGGGATTACAGGCATGAGTCACTGTGCCCAGCCTCCATTGTCTTTTTCTAAAGACAACAAGAATGACCCCCTTTTGGGTACCATGTTTGGTTTCCAGTTTGGAGGTGCATTCTAAATGGTCTTCTCCATTGTTTTTTCTCCCAAAATTTAGCACAACTGGCTTGCCTGTGCATTCGCGTGACTGTCATTTTTGTACATAAATGAGAGACTGAGCTCCTAAGCTCTGAAGAGAAAGGGCATTTTGTTCCTCCCAGCTGAAAGGCACCCTGGGTGACTAGGGGCTGAGTTGCAGTGTCTGGGGGATTCATCCCCTGTGATGTGCAGTGGCCCTACAGGGAACCCCCCAGCAAAATAGTTTAAAAAGATTTGTCCCGGAAACGCGTATAAGAGCTGACCACTTGGCATTTTGAGGCCTGTCAGAGGTGCTAGATCTCTGGAGAGAGAAACTGAGACAGCTAAGAGGGTGGAGACGACTCAGCAGTGAAACACTGTGGAGTCCTGCCTACAAACAGTACACCAATCCACCACCCAAAAACCCCTAGGCCACAGCTCAGTTCCAAAAAAAAAAAAAAAAAAACAGGGTACACAAATAATCTAAGAATGAGGAAAGACAAGGAGAAAGGTGCCTCTACTTGCAAGTGTTTGCGTAAAATGGAAAAGTTCAAGGGCATGCCAGGGTTTCTAGTACTCCAGCTGGTTACCTATTACAGTCTGTTGTGCACATTTTAAACCGATGGGAAAATTGTATCATTCAGAGCCCAAAGGTCAACCTGCAACTACAGAGTTTCTAAGTTCTCTATTTCTCTGTTTTCTTTTTTGCCTGCTTTAAATCTGCTATTACTTTTCTACTGAGATAAAAACCACAGGTTGGGCTGGGCGCGGTGGCTCACTCTTGTAATCCCAGCACTTTGGGAGGCCGAGGCAGGCGGATCACAAGGTCAGAAGATCGAGACCATCCTGGCTAACACAGTGAAACCCCCTCTCTACTAAAAATACATAAAAATTAGCCGGGCATGGTGGCGGGCGCCTGAAGTCCCAGCTACTCGGGAGGCTGAGGCAGGAGAATGGCGTGAACCCGGGAGGCGGAGCTTGCAGGGAGCAGAGATCGTGCCACTGCACTCCAGCCTGGGTGACAGAGAAAGACCCCGTCTCAAAACAAAACAAAACGAAACAAAACACCACAGTTTGGATGTGATGTACACCTTATATGTGTTGATTGATGTCTTATGCCTCCCTAAAATGTATAAAACCAAGCCGTAGCCCAATCATCTTGGGTACATGTTCTCAGGATCTCCTCACGGCTGTGTCCATTGGTCACTCATATTTGGCTCTGAAAAATCCTTGAAATATTAAACAACAACAACAAAAGGATATTTGGACTCAAAGTCAAAATGCCTTTCGATCTACTCCTGCATTCCAGGGCTCCATCCTCCCTTTTCTGTTTACATTGTTATGTGATGTTCTTGTTTATATCACGGATATCAGTCAAGATAAATGCCTTTTGTCTCATTGATCATCATTGTCAATAAATATATATCAATATTGCCTTGAGAAAAAAACCAGTAACAAAAATAACTATGTATGTGCATATGTGACTTCAGAAGAGTGAAACCTGGAGTTTGCCTTCTGGCCAACAGCCCTTAGAAGATGGGCATGTCCTGCCCTAGAACTGAGCCACTTACCTGTTCTCCATGGAGGTATTGCAGAGGAAAATGTGGATAGCAAGCCCATTGTTAGACTTTATGTCTCCAGCTCCACACAAGGTGTGCAGGCCCTGGGAGAGAGCCACAGAAGAGGGAAAGGTTAATGTGAATGATGCCCAAGAGGCAGCCCTTCCACTGGTCCCTGAGGGTCATGAGGTACATTTCTACTAGGGTCTTCCCTTTGGGACTGGTGGGACATTTGGAATCCAGGCAGCCTCTGAGGAGCCTGAATTACTGACTCATGTTTGGTAGTTTGTGGTTTACCCTAGTCTCCAGCCATGGCCTAAATCTGGATTGTCTCAGTGGCTATATCAGAAGAACTTACAGAGCATCAGTTCATTACTTGGTATTTTATCAATTTGATGCTTGACATCAACTGGAAGAAGAGATTCTGTTGGAGGTACCATCAGGCATCTAGGAGGCTTGGGGAGGAAGGTTGCAGCATCAGGGACCAGTTAATGCCCCTCAAGTACACTCCACTATGGGCAGCCCTCTGCTTATGAATAGGGTCAGCCTAATCTCTCTGGAACAGGGCAGAGGACTGCATTCTGACAGACTGTGTAATTCTCTCTGCTGTGTGACCAGATGATCCACAGTTCAAGAAACCTTAACACGTGGGTCTTCTCAAAATAGCCCTCAGCTCCAAACCTGCAGATAGAAAGCCAAAAGAAGGGAGCTCTGCTCCTCCAGATAGCTACAATTCACACAAGAAAGGAGATGGGGGTATCATTTTGTATTTTAACTCAATTTGTAAGTTTAGGGTGTATTTAAGTGAGTCTACACAGGGTTTGGAGCATTTAATAAAGATGAGAACTTCAAGATGTTTCCAACAATTTGTCCTGTGGCTGGGCACTTGGACTGTCCCTAAGTAAGCCATGAGCTGAGGCTGGTCTGCAGAACCCTCCACTGGTCTCTTTGAGTCCCACTTCCTTAGAGCTCCTTTCTCCTCTCCCCCAGATACTCCTTGCTCTGGGCAGTTATTCCAATACTCCCGGGACCTATAACTACCAAACAGAGCTTCCAATCAGCATTGTACTAACTAGAGTTGCCATGCTGAATTGACGCCATTCTAGCCCAAGCATCCACTTCAGGGAGATCATGAACTTGGATGGGAAATATGTTATTATATTTACTTCTGCTAATCTCTGAGTGAAATTTATCATTTCCTTCAACTAACATGAATGTAGGCAACAAATTACAGTGGTATTAGAGGTGCCTATAACTTTACCAGTGATAAAAATCATTATAGTCGTTATAGATTCCTCAAAATATATTTATGCTCATACCATAATTATTAGATGTTTTCCATAGATATTATGATTTAGCACATTAACAAGAAAGCATATGAATGACGATAAACCAAATCAAATTTGTTTTTAATAGTATTTTTATCATTATATTTCAATATCATTAGCTTCTTTGTAATATTATATAATTTATTTTATATATTCATAAACAAAGACATCATCAGACTATCAAAGCGAGCAAAAAGATTAAAAGCCCCCGTTCTAGCCAAAAGAAAGGAGCTTAAGTAGGAAAATGTTCAATTGCCATTGACCTTTCTGAGATATAAATAGTTCATGAATACCCTTTGGTGTCAGGGGCCATATGGTTTCTGTAAGTAAGACATCGCTCCGCCAGCCCCCAAAGCATACGCAGGTGGTTTTGTCTCTGCTGCCTCCTGATAGGGCTGCTTCTGCTTGGCATTCAGCCTGCAAATGGTTGGCTCACTCACCACAGAAGAGAGGAGAGCAGTAGGAAGGGTGTGGATGGGACTGACTTACACTCACAAAGTCTACTTTCTTCTGAGATGCTTTTGGAATCTCAAATGGTTTCCATCTAAGCTGGAAAAAAAATACACATACAGAAAAATTACTTCATAAGGGTAAACCATAGACATTCTAAATAAATTGCATCAATTACATGGAAAAGAAAGGACAGCTACCCCCTCTGTGAGGCTCTACTTGTGATTTTGTTATTTTAAAATGATTATCCATCATTTCCTTAAAGGGAATCTGTTAGTGTTTATGTTATTTGTGCACGTGCACATGCGCTTGTGTGTGTTTAAAACTATATGAATATAAACTGCTTTTGTTCCTTAGCACTTTAAATTATAAAAACAAAAGAAAACCATTGCTTCCTCTTTTAGAAGCTATTTGTTTCTTTTAACATTTTGCTCAGGCACATCAGTGAGTTTTGACTGATGCTGCTTTTCATGCTATTTATAATCAGGTCCCTTTCCTGTCATGCCAGCCTCTCTGTGTGGGCTCCTGACACTGCAGGGGAAGGTTCTACTTCTACTTCAAGCCCTTAGAGTTCTAAATTATTTTTTTAAGAGAAAGAAAGAGCACCCAGCTGAGATCTGATTTGGTAAATGCAGTACCAGGTTCAGTTGCTTCACCAAACCCCATGTTTGTCCCTAGGCTGCCTGACAGTTCAGTTTAAATCACAACAATCTTTAATTTAATAATGAAATGATCTAAGGAAGAGGGGAGGAAAATCAGCAGGTTTAGGTCCTTCTTGAAGTGTCAGCCCAGCGCTTATTAATCAACTTGGCAGCAGGCCTGACTTAGCCAGGCTCACAGCTGATAAGCCCAGCTGCCACGTTTCATGGAGTGACCTGCACCCTGAGGACTAGCTCCACTGGCTGCAGCACCTGGTCAAGGTGGGCATGGCAGGACCTCCATCAGGTCATAGGGCTCAGCTCATTCTGTATTTCAGGGAGGGAGCCAGATGGGAAAGGAAACAGCAAGTGGAAAAGGCAGCCCTGGGATTACTCTGCCTCTCTGACATAAACAGGCAGCAGCCTTCATTTCTTAAAAGCAAAGCAGGATGGTTACATTCTAAGATACTGAAAAAGGATGTAAAATGTTGATTTGGGAAACAGTGCTGAAATCATGCTTCAGAAAGAAGGAAATGCTTTAGGACTAATTTCATTAAGGATGTTATCTCTTAGGGATGTAATAGGGGGACCTGAGGGCAAGGATCTAGGAAATGGTTTCTCAACCTTGGCACTATTGACAGTTTGCACCAAATAATTCTTTGTTGTGGGGAGGTGTTCTGTGCATTGTGGGATGTTTAGCATCATCCATGGCCTGCCTCCACCAGGCTCCAGTGGCATTCCACCAGGTTGTAACAAGCAAAAATGTCTCCAGACATTGCCAAACATCATTTGGGGGGAAATTTTCTCCCAGTTGAGAACCACTGACCTAGGAGGATATTTCCCTGACATCAGGAAGTGCCACAGCTAAGCGCTGCTGGATTTTTTAGGGGAAGTTCTGGTCTACCACTAACCATTACCTGCTGCTTCCTTCTGTAGTAACAGAGCAGAGTATTTATACCCAGGAACATTGTTAGGAAGACTATAATACCTAGAATCCTAGTTTCAGAAAGAAAATCCAGAGAGAGTCATCTTTCTGGATTTCCCAGTAGAAGGGATTTAAGTATCAGATCAATGGTTGCCTGGGTAACCTTTTAGCTCTATCCAGAGATTCTCAATCCTGGCCACCCATGAGAATCACATGGACAGCCTTTGAGACCAAGACCAAATTAAATCAGAATCTGTGAAGGTAGGGCCCAGACATATTTTATAAAAGTTCTTCTAATGTGCAGCTAGGCTTTAAGAATCAGCACACCCAGTCCAGAGGTTCTGTGATTCTTGTATTGATGAACCAAGCATCACGCTCGGAAAAGTCCACCCAGTCAACCAACCAACCAACCAACCAACCAACTGATCAATCAACTAAATTCTGGCATCTTGGGCCATATGTGGCAGTGACAATGACAGTTACTAAATAGCAAGAATGATTAATTAGTACAAGTCTAAGGATTTATAAATCTAAGGAAAAAAGTGACCAAGAAAAAAGAAGAAAGAGCAAGGGGAAAGAAAGGAGAGAGAGAGAGAGAGAGAAAGAGAAAGAAAGAAATAACGAGAAATCCCAGTATCTGGGGATTTCCTGCCTGGTTTGTTGTACTGGGACGATACCTTTGTACATCTGCCTGATGTTAAAATACGTGTGGTAAGGCCAGGGGTGGTGGCTTACATTTGTAATCACAGCATTTTGGGAGGCCAAGGCGGGTAGATCACGAGGTCAGGAGTTTGAGACAAGCCTGGCCAACATAGTGAAACCCCATCTCTACTAAAAATACAAAAATTAGCTGGGTGTGGTGGTGTGCACCTATAATCCCAGCTACTTGGGAGGCTGAGGCAGGAGAATCATCTGAACCCAGGAGGTGGAGGTTGCAGTGACCCAAGACCTCACCATTGCACTCCAGCTTGAGCAACAGAGTGAGACTCTGTCTCAGAGAAAACAAACAAACGAACAAACAAACCTGTTGCGAGTAGAAACAAAGTCCTGGCCCTCAGAGAAGGGCTTTGTTTTCTTTGAGTGGAAAAGACTGAGTCAGAGAGAATGGTGGGTTGACCAGTTCAGCTGGTCATTTTTCAAGGTCTTCTGTAGCACATTAGCCCTCAAGTCATGAGAAGAGAGCCTGGAGTGGTGGATGAAAATGCAACTACATTTCATATTGAGGGAAGCATACCTTCAATACCCACAATCTGGAAGAAGCAACGACCTTGATGAACCTTTTCTAATGCAAAAAATGATCCCCACCAAATGACAGAGATGGTATATGGAGAGGAGTCATTTATCTGTTGGCCCTGATGGCAGAAGATTATGCAGAGTCTATATTCAGATCGTACTGGGCCTGTATCATGAAGGATAATAAAATCCCCAAGGTGGTTCTAATAAACTCAGTACTCACAAGAGAAAGCAGAGATTTCGGTTGGGAGCTCTGATGTGATATTTTGGTAAGTGTGAGGAGGGAGATTTGAGCAGAGGATTAATAGGAAGAGTCCATGGAGTGCATGATAGAAACATCTATTAAAGCCAGCTGCAGCTTCATTGTAGGCTGTGGAGCGGTAACTCTCTGATCCTAGGCCAGACCAAAAGGACAGTGCACTGAAGACTTGGTTTTTGCTGCTGTCTCTGTTCCCATTAACTCTGTGATCTTCAGGAAAGCCATTTTCTCTCTCCAAATTTTGTTTTTTTCTTACACATAACAACAGGGTGCTGGGTGAGAACTATAGTCCCATAATTCTCTCCAGAGAAGAACCTCTGAAAGAATTAAAGGATGCTTGCTGACTGATTTAGTCCTTGTTATGGGCTAAATTGTGTCCTCTTCCAAATTTGTGTGTTGAAGCCCTAACCTCCAGTGTGACTATGTTTAGAGATGGGTTTTAAGGTTAAAAGATATCATTAATGTGCGGCCCTAATCTGATAGGATCGGCGGCCTTATAAGAAGAAGAGACTTCTCTCTCTCTGCGTGCACTCAGAGGACAGGCTATGTGACGATACAGTAAGAAGGACTGTCTTTAAACCAAAGAGGAGCCCTCACAAGACATCAGCCTGCTAAAACCTTGGACTTGGATTCTCAGTTTTCAGAACGGTAAGAAGATACATTTCTGTTGTTTAAACTACCCAATCTGTGGTATTTTGTTATGGTAGCTTGATCAGACTAATATAGTCCTACAACTTTTCAAAATAGTTCATTTTATTTATACTATATACTCTTGTTAAATAGTTTCTTCTATATAGAATTTACTTATTAAACATTTCAAAAACAATAAAATTAATTGTAACACCCAAGCAATGGCTTGATTATAGTAGGCGTTAGTATTTGTTGAATGACTGAATAGATGAATAAATCTAAGGCACTAAGAACATTGCTAAGAACAAGACTAAGGCAAATTTTTGAGATTTTTTTTTTCTGGGATGGAGTCTCGCTCTGTCACCCAGACTGGAGTGCAGTGGCACAATATCGGCTCACTGCAACCTTTATCTCCTGGGTTCAAATGATTCTTCTGCCTCAGGCTCCTAAGTAGCTGGGACTATAGGTGTATGCCACCATGCCTGGCTAGTTTTTGTACTTTTAGTAGAGATGAGGTTTCACCATGTTGGCCAGGCTGGTCTTGAACTTCTGACCTCAGGTGATCCACCTGCTTCGCCCTTCCAAAGTGCTGGGATTACAGGCATGAGTCACTGTGTACGACCTGTGAGATCTTTTGGAAGTCAAAATAACATTCAGGCAATAGCTAGAAAATCAAATATTTCTAAAAGTCCAAAGGTGATTTCTAAAATGTCAGTTCTTCATATGTGTGTGAAATCATCACTTCCATTTCTTTTCTTTTTTAAAAAAACTTTTTTCCAATCCTGCTACTTCTGTAGATCACTTCTATATCTTTTCTGACTTTCTGTTCAATCGTTCTATCAACAGTTGAGAGAGGGGTGTTGAAGTCTCCAACTAAAATTGTGGATATGTCTATTTATCCTTTTAGTTATATTATTGCTTCACATATTTTACAACTATATTCTATGAGTTCTATTGGAAGATAAACTTTTACTTGCTAGAAATGTGGTGGTCAAAAATAATTTGAAAGCATCTTTAAGGGTGTCCGAAGTTAGAATTAAAAATTATTTAAGATTACCAAAGGAGGAAGACAGAATTGGTGTCAATACTTGATGATCAAGATTCAAAATTCATACTCAGAAATGAAAAGGAAATATTAGATAATTGACCTAAGTATTTCCAGTTAGAATACTGGGAGTTGAACTAGATGATCCAAGTATCCCGTTCAAAACTGAGATTCTTTAATTTACTGAGATTCCCTCCAAATTTCCCATGGACTCAACTAGATTGGATGACCTGAGTACTCTCAACAACACTGGCTGAGGACAGACAGATATATCATTAGAAGTCAGTACCACCTATCCAAGAATTTTGAAGTAACTTCTAGGTGAAATAGTCATCATAATGTACATATTAGTCTGTTCTCACATTGCTA